TAATAGTGGGATTGACCGTCACATTATAACGCCCCCACGGCTGAAAGGGCGAGCATGTTTGGTGTGACGGGGATTCGAACCCGCGACCCGCAGACTGCGAGTCGAGCGCCCTAACCACCTGGCCATGTATAGTTTTTGTATTATAACTTTTGGTTTAACACTAACTGTAAGAATAAAAATGTTCATTATATAGTTATTCTATCAAAACTTTTGACTTAATACTTACTGTATCTTTAAAAATGATCATTATATAATGCTTTTATCCTAACCGTTGGTTTAACACTAGCTGTAAGAATAAAAATGTTCATTATATAATGCTTTTATTCTAACCGTTGGTTTAACACTAGCTGTAAGAATAAAAATGTTCATTATATAATGCTTTTATCCTAACCGTTGGTTTAACACTAGCTGTAAGAATAAAAATGTTCATTATATAATGCTTTTATCCTAACCGTTGGTTTAACACTAGCTGTAAGAATAAAAATGTTCATTATATAATGCTTTTATCCTAACCGTTGGTTTAACACTAGCTGTAAGAATAAAAATGTTCATTATATAATGCTTTTATTCTAACCGTTGGTTTAACACTAGCTGTAAGAATATAAAATGTTCAGTAGTTGGTCCTGCTACTCCTTGTTTTGGTTTAACTGCATAGCTGTAAGAATATAAAATGTTCAGTAGTTGTTTGTGCTACTCCTTGTTTTAGTTTAACTGCATAGCTGTAAGAATATAAAATGTTCAGTAGTTGGTTGTGCTACTCTAAGTTTTGGTTTAACTGCATAGCTGTAAGAATATAAAATGTTCAGTAGTTGGTTGTGCTACTCTAAGTTCTGGTTTAACTGCATAGCTGTAAGAATATAAAATGTTCAGTAGTTAGTTCTGCTATTCTAAGTTTTGGTTTAACTGCATAGCTGTAAGAATATAAAATGATCCGTTTTATGTTGAGTTTGTTTTTCTTTTAAACTAATTTTTGGCATAATAGTAGCTGCAAAACCAAAAATGTCCAGCTTTTGTTCTTCTAACATGTTTACTATTTTTTATATCTATAAAAAAAAATGTTTTAGTATTTTGATCTTCTATCCTAACCTTGCGTATGTAAACATAAAAATTTCCAATATTTTGTTTAGTGCCGTAGATTTCTTTTTCTCTCTCTATTTCTGTTTTTATGTTTCTCTTCGTTTACTATTGTATGCCTTAACCATCTTGTTATTTCATTTTCTCTTTTTTTTCTTTTTTTTTGAGGAAAGGGAGGGGGTCTTTATTCTGGCGCTACCTTTTTCGTTCCTTTTTTGTACTTCTTGTTCTTTCTTGATTTCGTTCTATTTTCTACTCCTTTTCTCGATCTTTCCCCTGATTGGTAATAGCAATAAAAAAAAATTTGCAGTGTTGGCTTGTCGTGGTACTTTCAAACCAACAGAGATCATTTTTATATAAGAATCTCGTGCAAGAGTTGACAGACGTTGTCCACCAGGGTACCGCAGAAAACAACCGAGAGTTCTAATCACAAGAAGTAGTTTGTTTTTAAACAAAAGACTGGCGCTTTTCAGACTCGTTTTCTCTGCGCATTCAACATTCAATTAACGTTTGTTCGAATGACCTAAGAGGAGACGAAGTTAATTATCATTATCTAATCAATATCATAGCTCCTAATTTTTAATAGAATTGTTAAACAGCTATGATATAATATTTACAGCTATTCATTATAAGAACATTCTTCTATAGCCCTACAGAATTTATTAAAACAAATAAGGTGTAACAACAGCGGTCCTTCTCATTAAATGGTGGTCAAACATACAAAATAATCGTTTCGTAAGTTTAACACGATTGAAATGTCTTTTTGTTCTTAAATCTGGAAAATAATTATGGAGAAAGATGTAATAAAAGCAAAAAAGTCTAGTCGTCCTCTGTATATCGATATGTAATTCTAAAATCTTAGAGTGTTCCTATAAGCTTGTATTGCAACTCTATAACAAATCACATTTCTATACAACTAAAGCTGTGGAGTAGCTTGAAATAGTGACACGTTGTTGTGTTTGTTTTCCGTTTCATCACGACCTGATCTTCAGACTTTGTAGTGAAAATCACGCAAGAACAAAGACCTGGCTCATCCCCAAAGGATGAAACATATAACATAACATGCGCTAGGCTTTGAAATGATTTCTTACTAAATATTAGACACAATTGAATAGTTTTATACATTATAATCGTTGTGGGTTAACCAGTAGTATGTTATTCCAAACTGATTGATTGTCTACATAATTATTATGTAATTTCAACATGACTCTTAAAAATTTCGAGTTGCACGAATCAACTTAAATACTGTCAAAGAAAGTCTGTTAAAACTGGCTGAGTCCATTACGTATTAGGATAAAGTAAATAATTAAACTTTATTTGAAAATTAAGATGCTTCCTCAGATAAATGTAATTAAAAAGGTGAAGTTATAACTTATTTGTTGGAAGTAGATTTCATCTTATGTGTATTCTTAATTCTAACCTATTATGTACATCAGTTAAACAGTACAATGCTCTTTTTTTTATCATCTACCATGTTTCATGAATGAAACTACACTTTTTTTTATCTATCAATGAGGACTTGTTAACATTCGGATCAATCGAACTTGTTATTGATATTTCATAGCACTGAACCAGTCAAATTAATTATCAGTTAGTGTTCGTTGGATTTGTAAGAACTCGCTTTGCATTTTATCATAGACTATAACTGATTTTCTAATGTTTTTCCTTTTGCACTGTTCAGCCAAAAATTTACACGAAATAAACATAATCAAATCAGGAATCATTGATTCCCTACAACTCATCTTTTTTTTAAAAACGTGTGTAATATTATGACAAAGTAAAGTTTAGTAAAGCGTTACTTTACAGCAACAAGTGTAAATGAATTTGTTTCTTTGAATGTTAGATGGCAACAGTTTTTCAGCAATTAAAGATCCTAATCCAAAGTCGGACTATCTTTCTAAAATCATAAAGAGAAAGAGAGAGGCCTGCCGTGTCCTAGCGGTTATTGTGCACAGATGTTTCACCCTAGGGTTCGTGGTTTGTGCTCCATTGCCACCAAAATGCGCTCTGAAAATTGTAGCTGTGTTTGTTTGTTTTGAATTTCGCACAAAGCTACACGAGGGCTATC